GCATCTTGAATTTCGCTTTCCCTCCAGAACGAAGCTTTCGTCTAGGAGAAGGTCAGCACTTTTATAGAAAAGAAAGTTGAAAACAGCACTGAATGGCAAAGGCGAATGCGTATCTACCAGGTGAATTTCAGAGCTACTAGGGAACCATTGAGATAGCTCTCCTTTGACTTTGATTGAAGACATGGTTCTTGCATACCTGTACCACTGTAAAATGAAAGAATCACGATCACACAGTATTCTGTCCTTCGCCCAGGTTAAAAACGGACGGACTCGATCACAGGACGGTGAAAATGACGTCCTTAATTTTTGCTCACATCTGGCGACTAACCATGTTACCAACAATAACTGTTTAATTCCGTTTTCGAGACAATAAGATGCAGGCAGCGCATAACTTAAAAGGAATGTAAATAAGTCCGTAACAGAAAAATCTCATCAGTGAAACTGCTCATCCTGAAACTGCCAAAGAGAAGTAGCTAATGAAAAGCACAAGCTTATGAAAGAGACTAAATCCTAAACGATATGGCATCAAATAAGTTTAGTAAAAGACAAGGTTACAAAAGCTCGGCGTTTCTTAAAATAAATATAAATGACTGCAACGCTAACTCCGGCGTAGACGGTCCCAAGCCCGGATGAGAAACCAGAAGGATTGGAGACGGTGGCAAGCTGTCAAGGCTGCTCACCGGCTTCTGGCAAAATGGAGTATAGCACCACAAGTGTGAACCCACAGTCTGAAACTGGAACGTCCTAACTGAGAGGAAAAAAAAGGAGTTAGCTGATGAGGCTGTAAGGTAACAACTCCACAGAGTTGGATTCTCCTCAATGAAGCGCCAAGGCTCTGGAATTCTAAAGCCCTGCGGGTGGGCGCTATTCTACTCAGGCATCGACATCACGACGTTCGTTCAGTCCGTTGCTGGCGCTCTGGTATAACGCAACCTGGCTGACAGAATCACTGAAAGGAAGCCTGTCGGAGGAAGAGCGGCAATCCTCAGACAAACGCTACAACATGCTAGAGCTTCGATCTTGTTAAAGGAAATGAGCCCTATATGGAAAAAAATATGAAGCCTTCCTTGAGGAAGTGGAGTACGGAAGTGCCGACTACGGAGTCCCTCATTTCAATGGGTGATTTTAATGCGCATGTCGGAGTAGACACCGAAATATGGAACAGCCCTGGCGACCTCAGCATTAACTCGATTAAGTTGCTGCGGTTATGTGCAAACAACGACCTGTCTATCATGAATGTCGTCTTCAAGCATCTAAATGTGCAACAGTATACTTGGCATAGAGAAGCTGACGGAAAGGCTGCTGGAATTGATGAAATTCACCCTGAAATGATAAAAGCGATAGAAGAACAAGGCATGTGCTGGCTTACTCCAATGGCTACGGGAAGACACTAGATGGAGGAAGAACGGTGAACCCGCTTGTACTACTGCTGGTCAGGAAGGGAGACAACAGGAAGCGGCCGGGACAATAACTTATTGAGCCTCCCTAGTAAAGTCGACGTAAAGGTGCTGGAGAGGAGGTGCCGCAGAACTACCGACTCAGAAACACAAGAGTAGTATGGCTTCCGATATGGCCAAAGCAGATCTAACCAGATATTCGGGATATTTCTGATTGAGAAATTTTGTGAGTTCGCCCATCCGGTTTACACGTGCTTTGTGGAGAGTATGACGTATTCGTATGACTGGATTCCATGTAAAAATATATGGGCATACCGGCGAATATATGAAATCGATGGCCAGCTATTAATCAGCTACCCAATTACCGTATGCTTACAGCAGGAGCTGGGTCAGAGTAAATGTCGTTTAGTCAAAATATTTTAGCGTTAGAAGTGGTCTCCGTCAAGGCCGAGATCGTCCCGTTTCCACTTTGTACTGTACATTATTGGGACAGTGAAGCTAAGCGAGGGCGACGAGTGCTTAATAGTAGAAGATATAGTGCTGAAAATGTTGCTGTTTGCGGAAGGCCTTGGTTTGCTAACACTTTGTGAAACTGATCTCCAACACTGTGTGTAACAGATTGCAGCCGAGTGCGACGTAGCCAATATACATGCGAATGCATCTAAAACGAAAAGCCTAGTGCTTTCTCGTTCTCCTACACGTGACTCTCCTCAGATTAACGGAGAAGCAGTGGAAGAGATGGAAAAATTCAAGTACCTCAAGGTCATGTTCATAGGTGGTGGACAATATAAGGAAGAGGCCGACTGGCAGATTGGAGTGGCCAGTGGGGACCTGCGTAAATTAGCCCGAACCAATGTGATTAAGGTAGAGTTGAGCATGAAGATTAAGCTCTTGGTGTTTAAGTCGATCTACATCCCCATGCTTTCCTACGGTCATGACTCGTGGACTACGATTGAAAAAATTCGATCCGGGGTACAAGCGTCTGAAATGGGCTTTCTAAGATGAGTCGCTGGCTTTAAGCGACTCCACATGGTCGGGCATACAAAAATTGCGAGAGTCTTTGTGTACAGTGGTAGCTCATTGAGAGTGAGAAGTAAGAGCTGCGACGGTTTGGGTATCTGTTGCGAATGCCTCCAGAAAAGAAGGTGAAGCAACTACTGCTTGTCAGTCTACCACCAGAAGACCCAAAGGGCAGCCAAGATTAACTTGGTACAAATGTATTGAAGCAGTCTTTTCCCGTTGTCTTCTGCCGAAGTTCAAACGCTGGCACAGAATTGGGAATGTGGGAGACTTTGCCAAGTCCGCCGTATGGGAGACGAAAGGATAGGTGGTCATGGAAACTGAACTGACTAGAAGGTGCGTTGCAAGACAGAGGTGAAAAGTTGTGCAAAATAATGAACAAGTACTTCAGCTGTAGAAACTGCGTTAATGCAGGCCTAAAATGTCTAGCCAAACGTGAATTTGAATTCTGGCGCTGCCAAAATCGAGTTCTCATAAATCTTTAATCACGGGGTTACGTTTACCAGTCAAGAAGGAAACTGAGAAAGACTATCACGGATGACCGGCTGATGAGCTAAAGCTAAAGGATCTCCTATATTTTCCCTTAAAGCAAACTTACAGCGGATAAAATATCCTGAAAAAAGGGCACGTGTGCAGCGAAGTATAATGGATTCTTTGCACCAGAAAATGAGCATCAAGATGAATTATGATGTTTAGCTAATTCTGCTGGACGAATTATCTCTTTCACTCTGTCTCGATAGTGAAATCATATTGAGGATCCTTTGCACATTCGGAAATTCATTCAGTAGATGGGCAAGAATCCAGATTTTATAATGATAAAATAACGTGATAACAAAAAATATATAATAGTGATGCCACATTCTGCTTCAATAGTTTTCAGTTCAAAAATCATGTGACGGCAAGTGGAATGAAAGATTCACTTAACCCATGTTGTAATGTCATTTGACTGCAATCATGCGTACATTTGGACAGAATATAGTCACAAATATCTATGTCAACGCTCAGCGCTTTGAAAGGAGCAGTTCTGTCTACTTAAACACCAGCTATGAAAGCGAATTAGCAGCTTGTGGAAATACGACGTGCAATAAATGAGGACGGTGAGGAGTAGAACGGCATAGCATTTACTCAAGGCGGCATTAAATGTTTGTAGAGATTACACAGTGATAGACCATATGATGGCATACATCATGATTTTACAGGCCGGTGAAAAACGGCATAGTCCATAAGAACACCACCCAAGGCGAATAATGGATTCAGTGAACACCACTAAGTAAAAAATAGTGAGTACAGTGCGATGACATCACATACCGCACAGGAAGTCCAACGGCTTGAAACGGCAGGTCTAAGACCATCGGTGACGACACATTTCTTCATCTCATCCAGACTAGGGTCGAGTGGAACCAAATCGAAGTATGGCAGTTCGCATTTATCATACATTCCTGAAAAATGCAGCATTCGACCAGTCAGCAACGGCCAAAGAAGTGTAGCTAAGGACGTACCGTTAATATTTGTACGACGACAGGCCTCCCATATGATGAGACTCAACGAATAAATATCTGCGCGACGGTAACTATCAAAATGATCCGGATTAAGGGTTCCGGCAAGGACTTCAGGAGAAAGGTAGCGCTAAACAACAATGATCAGGCTAGAACAAAACAAGTAAAAACGCATAAACAAGCTAAAAAGGTAGGATAAGTCTGTTCAGAAATCATGCTAAAATATGGCGTA